TTGGTTTAGCCAAAATGTCAAAATTCACATGTTTACATTTTCATGTTTTGGACTATTTTGTAAAATGATGATATTTTTCATTTGTGAAGTCCTTTTTCGAAACCAGTTGTTGTAGAATGTTTATTATCATGTCTACAATCATTCCCCAAAGTTTTACATTTTTTGGAATTTATTTGATATTTTTAAACAGCATTTCAACGGTCGACCGAGAGCTCCATCGGTCGACCGCACCGGTCGACCGGATAAGTGTTTGCTTGATTTCCTGTTTTCGACCTGGATAACGGTCGACCGAACTTTCCATCGGTCGACCGAATTTTTCCATCGGTCGACCGACGGAATTTTCGGTCGACCGACAATATAGCCGTTGCTTTTTAACGGCTCTTTCTCTGAGCTGTTTGCTGGGGTTTTTGGTCATTTCGTTTTGGGGTTTTTGGCTGAGCTTTGAGTGGGTATATATACCCCATTGCTGATGTCTTTTCAAGTTAGCCAAGAGAGTTTGAAAACAAGTTTAAGAAAGTTTTTAATCAAGGGTTTAAGTTTTGTTTAAAAGAGTTTAAGAGTTTGTTTGAGTTTAGTTTGTGAAGCAAATTTCACAAGAGCAAAGAGGAGATCATTCTTTGGTGTTTGGGCATTCAACTCATCTCTCTCTCACTCTTGATCTATAGAGAAGTTTTCCTTAAACTCAATTCTAGCTATTTATTGTTTTGATCTTAATTTCCATAAGCTAGATTTATATATTGAGTTTAATTGTTTTATTGATACTCTTTGTTCACACACAACCTATTGAGCTTATTGTATTTTCATTCATAGTATAATTTTGGGTTGTGAGATTAGTGACTTAGAGTTGTGCTTAATTGAGTTCTCACCTTGTTTAGAGAACAAATCATTTGATTTATATTGTGCTTAATTGTGAGGATTCACTTGTAATACACTTGTACACCGAGAGAAGTGTGTGGTGAGAGACGGGGTCGAATCCAAGAGGAGTGGCGTCGGTTGACGTGCTTAGGGAGAGGTTGTAACCGAGCACTTGAGGAGGAGGACACGGGCTAGGACCAACACTTAGTGTGTGAGGTGTGATTACATAGTGATTGTATTGTGAGGTGTAAACGTTGTTCGGGTGAACGTAGAAAACCCGGTTGTGATAGTGGAGATCTCCTCGAGGTGAGGAGCGGGGACGTAGGTCGTGGGGACCGAACCTCGTAAACATATCGTTTGTTTGTGATTGTATTGACGTACTTATTTTTATGTTCATATCTTATATCGCCCTCATATATTGCTTGTTGATCATATTGCCCACTATCTAGTTTAGTTTGTTTTACCCTTGTGTTAGTTTATATATCCTTGCTCATATACTTGTAATATCTCATTGATAGGATATATTCTTTTATTCATATTGCTTATCCTAGTTTACATATCTTGTTATATTTCATACTTGCTAGGATAACTCATTAATTAATTTTAATTGGCATATAATCGGATTAGATTAGCATAAGACCCTAATCACCCCCCTCTAGGGTCTAACAACAGCTGTTAAGAATCTTCTGACGATGCTCGTCGATGACCTTCTGAAGAGGCTTAGACTTCAACTGCTTTATTTCTTCTTGAAGTTGGGCGATGGTCACTTCTATTGTGTCGACCTGACGCTTTGCATCGGTCGTCGCCGCGTTCTCCACCTGAGCTAGAACCTCCACGCGGTCCCTTTTCTGAAGCGTCTCATCCAACTCTTGCCTAAGTTTGGCAACTTGAGAGACGTCTGAGGTGGACCCGTCGGCAGTCTGTTGCCGAGGGACTTTCTTGTTGACCTTAGTAGATCAACTTCCTTAAGGAGCTTCTGATGAGAGGTCCAAAGATGATCCACCTGATTGAATGGCTCGTTCTCCAATAGAGCCCCTCAGAGAAAGTAACTACGAAGAGCCTGATGAAGACCCTAATCAGGAATCCTCCTAAGAAGCTTCTCATCCTCTGGGAGACAGAACTAATTGATAGCCCTTGCCTGGGCTCGACAAGACCTGATAATGGACCCTCTAACATCCAGGTGATAATCAGCCTCGAAACAAAACTCTGGCCGGGGCTCCCTTGCATACTGGGTAGCAGATGAAGGGTGCCCAATGATACATGACCTCAGCTGGTCCTATTCTTTCTCGCCCATATCAAAGAAACTATGCGGAAAAGGGTGCTTCCGGCTAGTGGCCGGCAACCCCACCTCTGACCGAGCCGACTCCTTCCTCGGCTGAGGCGGCACTCGATGCGCGCTGTTTCAAATTCTTTTAGGGTCAGATCTTCTTGTGGATCATCCAGAGGGATGAGAGCCACCCACGTTTCTTCAAACTCTCGGCCGAATCAACCCTTCGGCCTCCCTCCTCCTCCTCCTTTGAGTGAGGGAGGGCATCTTCTCCTCGACAGTCAACGGAGCCTCTGGAGAAGGGATCGCTGAGCGGAGACGCTTGGTCGGTCTGACAAAAGATTCCTCTTGAGGATCAATTAACCTAACTTGGGGCGTAACAATGGCTCCCACTGACCCGGTGATGAGGGCAACAGCTCTATCCATGTCGGAAGTAGTCACCGGCACGATCGACACCGCGGTCATTCGTAAAACGGACTTATCCAGTAAAACCTCAAAGCAACGAGAGCCTGCGAACTTCTTGATCAACTCAAGATCGACCTTTTCTTCCTTGGATAACACCCTCTTGACGAGCGCACCCCTCCTAATCTCAGGCCAATCAGAGCCACCCATCTCCAAATCCTCCCCGGCCACCCACACGAACTTCTCCTTCCATTCCTTATGAGAATCTAGGAGGTCTACGATCAACTTGAAGGACCCCGACATCTGAAAGTAATAGTGAGGCTCCTTCTGACTTGCCTTTACAACTACGAAATAAGTAAAAAAGCTTCATCATGGGTTTTATACCCAATCAACTGCATATAACCATGAAAGTCATCGTGATGGCTATGGCATTCGGCTTCATTTGTACTGGCGAAACCCCCAAATCCTTGAACAATTGCTTCAAGAACGAAGGCAAGGGCAATCTCAGTCTACACTCCAAATGGTTTAGATAGAGTGGGTGCCGCCCCGGCCCATGGTCATAAATGACCTCCGCTCCCTTCGGGAGGGACAACTTATATTCCTTAGGGATGTCAAACTTCACGGACATTGTCTTCAGTTAGGCCGAGGTCACCTTCAAATGGATGATCTCCAGATATTCCCGACGAGGCACCGCTTCTAGATCCATAGAGAGACTAGGGGCAATCGGCAGGAAAGACAAAATTAGAAGAAGGTGAGGAAGAGGAGCAGTTAGATCGGATGAGAATTCCAACGGCAATATATGGTCTCCTACTTTACAGCTGTCAATGCATCTAAACCGTTGGATCCCATCTCATCCCACGGCTAAAAGCTAGCCTCGGAATTTAAAATGCTGCCGAATGACATTTCGTCTCCTTTTCTTGAGAAAACTATGATCTGACAAGAGAACAACCTAGGCAGCCTTAGAGATGTCTGATGACGTCAAGCGACCAAGTGTCCAGAAGGGGCGCCATTTCATTGTCAGAATCAATTCTACCAAGTCTCTGTTCATTTATTTTTCTCTTGCATCCAGCCACAACCGCATCCAAGCAAAAGGGGATGACTGTTATGGGGTATTCTCTGTTACTTATAAATATGCTATCCCAAGAATAGACTCAGTCGAGCTGGCGTCACTCCCCAAAGACGACTCGAAAGAAGGACTCAGTCTGGCGAAAGACTACTGCTCAGCAACCGGCCAACACTTCCCCCAAAAGTGACTCAGAACATTACTTCCCAGCATTATTTTACCATTTATGGTCATCATTACGACTCCACATTACCCGCTGACAAGCCTCAACGGCTGTTGATTCCCCATACCACAAAAGCGACTCCACGTCACTCACATGCAAGCCTCAACAGCTGCTGATTCCCCATACCATCAAAGTGACTCCACGTCACTCACAGGCAAGCCTCAACGGCTGCTGATTTCCCATGTCACTGAAGTGACCCGCCATCACTCATCAATCGACACGAATAGGGCAGAGGATGACTCAGCCTCCAGCCCACCCATCGCCATCATCATGAGCCGCCTCCTCACTAAATACATGTTCTGCCCTTGGCATCCTATATAAATAGAGACGCTATTCATCCTAAGCGGAGGTTCGATCTCTCCCTCACTACCTAAAAAATTCTCTAGTCACATATTAGGAGGAGACACTATTCCTCTATGATCGGACCCAAGTCCACCAGCTAACTTGACCGTCAGAGGTACCACGGGGGAAATAAGCCCTGTACTCCCATGATTCTTGTGTGTGCGGGTGATCCGTCCACCCCGAGCTCTAAGAACCAGGCATAAAGTCGAAGAAGGAAAGTGACCCTCCATCCCTCTCGACGATCCAGCAACTTCGCAAGCCCTATCGACTGTTTGTTCACGAGCATCAACAAAAATGATAAAAATAACTTATTTATTAATAATCAGTAAATCGTTTACAATTATAATTGTAACAACAATTCCAGATGAAGGATCTTAGATCTCTTTGCTATTTTCTTGGTCTAGAAATTTTTTAGGAGACGCGGGGAGTACTACTATCTCAACAAAGTATCTCTCGGATATTCTAGCTCGTGCTGAGCTAACTGACGATGCAAGTGTCGATACTCCACTTCAACAGAAATGTCAAACTTCACTCTACTAATGGTGAGCCTCTATATGATCCTACCTGATACTGACATTTTGTTGGTCAGTTGGTCTATTTGTGCATCTCTCGACCGGATATCTCTCATGCTGTTGGTATTTGTCAGCCAATTTGTTAATGCCACACGTTGAGATCAACACTCATTTTGTTCGTCAACAAGTTATCAATGACAAGACAATTCAACTTCCTCATGTCTCATCCGCTGATGAGCTTGCAGATTTCTTCACGAAGGCCTTACTTGTTCATCGATTCTAGTTTCTTGTACATAAACTCTGATCCATTAGAAAAATCTCAATTAAGGTCAATAATATTATCCTCTTTGATTCTTGAAAATTTCAGTCTTCCACTCGTTCGCCGTGCTCATTCCCAATACTAATTAATAGAGTACCCCTTATCGCTCTCCCTCCGTCCAGGAAAAACGTAAGGCCAGCTCTTTTTCAATCACTAGCAGCCTTCCCTCTCTGTGGTCTAAGCTCCGCATTATCCATCATGCCTCTAGCAATATTACACAGCAGCAGAGATAGCAACAATGCCCAAAACACATGAGCGAGCTGCAGCAGACGCTCGAGACCAGCTTGAACTCCTGAAAGCAGTAGCCCAAGCCTGGCACTCTCAGACCGGAAACCCGAAGCCCACCAATGAGGATGCTGAGGCCCAGAAGATTAACCGCCTGGGGTTCAAACCTCGGCCCAGTAGGTTCAAGGTAGAGGCATCAATGAGTATGGCCTCAAGAAGAGGTCAGCCGGCTTCTTCTAATTCATCAGGCGCCTCCTGGAACTTCTCTGGATCTCTACTGGATTCTTATGAGATTGTTACTCTGGCTAAGAAACTTGAGGCCAGTCTGGCTCTGGACCACCCTATGTCGAGCTCCGCACGGAACGGGAAGAGGAGCAGAGCAGAGAGTAAGAATAGCTTGAGGAATTTGTTCTACAGGGCCTCTTCCAAGAGATTCACAGCTGCTGCTGCTGCTGCCGCCGCCGCTGCCGTTTCAAGAGACCAGGAGGGGGATTAATTATATATACTTTTTGAATTTACTCTAATTTTCTTCTCCGGTACAACTTGCTGTTGTGGAAGCAACAGTATAGGAACCCAACGAGAGTATATATTGAGTACAGATACTCCTCCGAGTTCTTTTAATTTTATTTCTTCTAATTGGGATTAAATCGATATGCTCATGCTAGAGTGGAGGTCACTTAATTTATACTTGGGCTCGTGAGATTACAGATTACAAGCTGTTCCCTTTCGGAAATTCATCTCTTAATTCTGCTTTTTATTCTTAATAAATAGCACGAGAGCAGCGAAAAGAGATTTTTATTCATAAGAGATGTTGACTCAGTATGGTCAGCACCCATCAACACACATACCCATGTATATCTGAGTAATTTTATATATATTACGTCCTAGGCTACGTCCATGGTCATAAGCCTTTGATAGTAACTCTGGTGCTTGCGCTTGATGTACTCATCAGCTTCCATATCGATGTTCTTTTCTTCATGCGAGCGAGTTTTCTCGACAGTTTCTACAGATCGCTCAATGACGACAGGATGATGATCCTGTTGAGTTGTCGCCGTCTCCTTGTGCTTGAACATCATGTGGAGGTTGGGGAAGCGAGGTCCCTCGTATTTGCTGCTGATGTTCTGATCAGTCCTGGTGGAAGCTGCTGTTTGGATTTGGTGATGATCAGTCTCTGAGGCTTGGCTCTCATCAAAGAACTTGACACTGCGGCGATAATGCGACTGCCTAGGCATCACGGCTCACCCTTGTTTGATTTGAGGGGTTAATTTATGCGCAATATTCTAATTTATAGGCAAAGGTAAGTTGCTCCAAACAACTTGGTAGTGATGTGGCCTAATCTTGTCCCTACATCTACATTGGAGTTGATGAATGGTGGTTGAGGCTCTATCTTCGAGGTGTGATGTAGGGGTAAGATTATGACACATCACTACCAAGTTGTTTTAAGCAACTTGATACCAAGGTTCTCCATTTTGCTCCCTCTCTCTCTCTCTCTATATATATATATATATATGATATGCTTCTTTAGTCAATTTCAGGCATCTCTCTCTCTCTTTACTTGCTTACTAAGCGCATGCCTAGCTAACTACTATAAGTAGGATCGATGCGTTTGGATTCTCTCTTTACTTGCGCCGCAACGTACGTCTTTAATCGAATAAAACATACATAGAGTTTATCTTAATCGAGCTAAAGTGGAGCCAAGGGAAATTAATGAAATACATAACGATGCAGTATTTGGTACAAATCAAAATCATCCCAGTGTAAATAACGAGACAGCTGTGATTGAGAGAGTGGTCTTTTTTCCCACTGTCAAAGTAACGGAGAGGATCCAAAATCCATCACAAAATTATTATTCGTGCGCTTGGGAGTGCTTCGACCTTTTTATGCAAAGTTTGTCACATAGCTAGCAAGACCACATGGCAAGTCAATTATTAGGGTGGAGCATCAAAATGGTTCGGAGATAAAATCGATTTTTCAATAGTTGCTTGAAGAAGAATTTTGTAAAGTTTTAAAAGGCATCGCAAAGTGGGCGAAGAATCAAAATGGTGGGCATACAAAAGAAGCTGCTTTCTCATATTCTCTGGTTCACCTATATATCCCAAAATAGATATAGGTAGGCACTGGGTTCAGCAAAATTAAGGACATGTTTTCGATATAGTTCTACTGAAAAACTTTCGTCAGTATAAAAACAGGTTCTTAATTTATTTACTTAGTTTCAAATTGTATAAAAGTGTTACAGTTTTGTGCTTACTTAGTTTCAAATTGCATAGAAGTGTTACAGTTTCTATCGTGTAAAAACAATGTCAGATAATCAGAAGGCAATCCGGACAGCGAGACAGATCGCAATCGGATGGTTAACAAAATCTTCCTGCTTTGATCTCGTTAGGGATTCCTGCAATGCCATTTGGTCAACCTCCCAATTCGTAATGTATGTGCGGCGAAAGATAAAGAACTCGGCAGGAAAAAGTTTCAATTTGTTCAAAGATACTGAATTTTGTGCGGCGAAAGATAAAATTTTTTTCAGGATCCTGAATTTTGTGCTGGAAAATTCTCATATTTCTCTCTTGCCAAATCAAATATACTGCTACCGAGAGGACCATTCTTTTTAAATTTTGTATAAGCCCCATTCCTTTGAGTCTGAAGCTCTACCAACTGATAAGTTGATTCCAATCACATGATCTCCAAGAGAAATCCATCCAATTCATCACCTTATTCTAGACATTTGTTGAAAACTGATATTCAAAGAAGAGGTGCTTGCATGTCTCCAATTGATGATTAGTACACAAAACACATAGGTTTATGTTTAATAATATCATTCAGCATAATCTATCTTGTGTTAAGAGTCTGGAATGATTTGCTAGCCAAAGAATAAATGAATGCTTAGGATATGGTAATCCCCTCCAAACTGTGTCGGCCCACACAGCTGAAGGTGCTTCTTTGAATTATGACTTTGTATATAGAGGATATTTGAAGCTTCCACCATTGTAACAACCTGTAATTATTTGCTAAAGATTTCCCGCATCACCAAATTTATTAATCATCATGTCCCTCAACTTAATGAGATGCTTCCACATCCAAGAATCGTTCACTTTTGATTGAACCTGCCAGATTGTTGAAGTATGTAAGTAATTGCCATGTATCTATTTAATCCAAAGCAAATCTTGCTTGAGGTGAATCATCCATAGGAGCTTAGTTGTCGCTGCATAGTTCTAAAATTTAGATGAGTATAGTCCCAGACCCCCTTTCTTCTTCTCCTGGCAAACAACATTCCAAGATAACAAGTGGATTTATTGACCCCAAAGAAAAGAAGAGCACAAGCTATAAATTTTTTCTAGCACTCTAATTGGTAGAATGTAATTGCTAGTCCATAAAATTTGAATACCGAGGATCACTGATTTAATCAATTGGAGCCTCCCAGCATACGAAAGCTTTCTATTTTGTTGCCAACTATGAAATTGACCAGAAATTTTGCTGATCAATGGAGAACAATCCATCCAAGATAGCCTCTTTGATATTAATGGCATACCCAAGTATCTCATAGGCAAAGATCCCTCTGAAAAATTCAAATATGAGCATAACTGGTGCTTTAAGCTCTCATCAATGCCATTCAAAAAAACAGAGCACTTGTTTGGATTGGCCTCCAATTCTGAAACTTTACTGAGATCTTGAAGACAATTGTGTAATCTTGTTACTGAATTCAAGTCAGCTTTGCTAAAGAGGAGCAAGTCATCAACGAAGATCAAATGAGTAATCCCCAATCTAGAGCATTTAGGATGGAATTTGAATAATCTATCATCTTTGAGTATGCTTAATCTTCTTGACAAATATTTTATATCAATCACAAACAAATAGGGTGATAAGGGGTCACCTTATCTTAGACCTCTTGCGTCTTTAAAATATCAATGTAGGGATCCATTGAGGGACAATAAATATTTTGGTGTGGTGATGCATTCCATAATCCATTTTATCATTTTAGTAGGGAAGCCCAGACCTTCTAGCATGGACTTGAGAAAATCCCAGTTGATTGTATCAAAGGCTTTTCTCAAATCAATGTACAAGATGACTCTTAGTGAGGTATGTCTTCTACCATAGTGCTTGATGAGTTCATGAGCTAATAGGATGTTGCTTGAGATAAGCCTCCCCTTAACAAAAGCACTTTGAGACTCACTAATCAAACATCCCATAACTTTCTAAATTCTATTGGCAATAATTTTAGATATGATCTTATAAACCACATTGCAACAGGATACCGGTCTAAAATCAGAAGTTGTGTTTGGATTATGATTTTTAGGTACCAAAGTGATAAGTGTAGTATTGAACGTACCAAGTAATTTTCAGAATTGAAAAATTCTTCCACAGCCAGAAAAGATCTTCACTGATGACATCTCATTCTGCCTTGAAGAAAGAGGAATTGTATCCATCAGGACCAGGGGCTTTATCTTCAGAAATTGAGAACACAACTTGCCTAATTTCCTCTCTTGTAAATTGAAGACTCAGAGTATTACTTTGATTAGAAGAGAGAGTAGGACCTTTAGAGATCACATCAGGATCAAGACTTTGAGTTGTAACTGCAGTACCCAGGAGCTTCTCATAATAGCCTATGAATTCAGAGATTATTCCAGGCATATCAGTAATTCTAGAGCCATTTTCGGAATATAAAAATAATACCCTGCTATGATGCCTTTTTGCCTTCATAGCAGAATGGAAAAACTGAGAATTTTTATCACCATGTAGCCCTCATTTGATGTTAGCTTTCTGCCTGAGGAAGGAATCTCACAATCTAGTAATTTTGTGTATTTTTGAACACATTCTTTCTCCTGCAAAATCAATTCTGAGTTGAAGAGGTCAAGAGTCAATTATTTCTGAATGGCTAACAGCTCATCTCTAGCTCTGAGCACTTATTCACTTATATTCATAAAATATTTCTTATTAACCTCCTTTAGTGCAGGTTTAAGATTCTACAATTTTGAGTGGAATTTGTACATGTTATACCCAATAATGCTTTGATCCCAAACTAATTTGACAGCTGGGAGAAATTGAGGATGATTAGCCTGCATATTAAAAAATTTGAAAGACCTTTTTCCCTCAAAAATCTCATCACCAATAGTTATTAGGGCTGGGGAGTGATCTGAACAGTCTGGCATCAAAAATTCTGCTTGACTAGTTGTATATTGTTGAATCCATTCTTCATTAACCAAGATTCTATCCAATATGCTCCAAATTCTTGCGCTTCACTCTTGATTATTACACCATGTGAAAAAATAGCCAGTGGACTTTATATGCAATAGCTGACTTGAATTGATGAAGGTCTGAAAGTCTTCAATATCAGCCTCAGTGACCTGCGCTCCCCCAAGCCTCTCTTCACTGCTGATTATTGCATTAAAATCTCCTCCTACTAGCCAAGGGTAACTAATTCTTTGTTTGAATGCTAGGAGATCGTGCTAGAGATTTCTCCTACCCTCCGTTTGATTGAGGGCATAGACAATAGTAATTAAACTGGAAAACCTCCCATCTTTTCATTCTATTGAGGAAGTGACATACTGTTCTGAAGAATCAATACACTGAATATTTAGGAGCTCATCATTCCAAAAAATCCAAATTCTACCATTATTTGCTTCATGAAT